AGCGGGCGCGAGCGCGGAGGGGGGGGGGGGGGGGCGCAGGCAGGACACAGCATTCCGGGGAGAGCACGTGACCAACCCATCCAGTAAGAGGGAGCCCTGAGAGTCTGAACTATTGGGAGGTATGGGGGTGGTGCTAGAGCACCATCTTGCTGATGAGGATGGGAGGCAGGCTGAGGATGATGCCCATGCACAGGAGAGGTGTTCAAGAACCTGGATCCAGCCATGCCTGAAACTGACCCTCGATCTAGACCGTCCACGTACACGAGCAGGGCACAGCTATGGTTAGGAAGGAACCCGTCAGTCATTGCAGCTGGCAGACGTGTCCCACATCCACCGAGTCTGGCTCAGGAACTCCCAGACCCAGCTCAGCCCTGCCCACAGCCCTGCCCTCCCCTGCCGGCTCTCTGCACGGGCTGCAGGTCCCAGCTCCTCCACCACTTCGCTCTGTGATACGAGGCCAATTGTCTCCCCTCCCAGGCCTCAGTTTCCCTATCTGTCAATGGACACAGATGAACCTGCCTCCCTGGGTGGCTGTGAGGCACTGTCACCGTGCCGGGCACAGAGTGCTCGAGGCACTTCATTCTCCCCTGCCTACCTAGTCAGTCCTTCCCGAGAGGTGCTGACAACACTGCCCGGAGCAGAGGGGTAATCAGGTTGGCCACGGGAGGCTCGGGATGGGAGAGGAGGGACTAGCAGGCCAAGGCAGGTTCAGAAGGGCCAGCCAGGCCGGGCCCCTCTCGACTGCTCATTTTGGGCTGACCCACTCCTGCTGAGGGCTGAGCAGCTTCTACTGATGTCCCCAGGCTGTCCCTGCCGAGTTTACTGCCAGCTAGGACACTGTGGCCACCTGCAACCCTTCCTGGATCGCAGGGCCAGGGACCGTGTGAACCTGGAGGTCTGCAGTCTGATCCAGAGGGCCGGCCCCGCCTTCTCCTGTGCTCCACCCAGGGGCGCATCTGCTACCCCCTGCCCTCTGCCGAGGCCTCACAGATGCCTCTCCCAACGCCCTGCTCCTCCTCAGCCTCCTGCTGCCCATGGCTCAGGCCAGATGCCTGGGACCGCCGTTGGTTGGACCACCCCCTCACCCTCCTTGGCTGGTGCTCTGCAAACGACCAGCTGGCTTAACCTGCGCTGAGACCCAGCTGTGCTCAGCACCGCATGGCCTCGCCATGGCCTGAACCCCACCGTCCCTCACCTGGACTCCACACTGGTCCTCCATCATCCCGAGCACCCCAGACCCGCACATACTTGGGGCCTTTGCGTGTGCTCCTCCCTCTGCCAGTTCCCCCTCCCCACAACGGGCTCAGAGCCCCACCCTGCACCGTCTCAGTACAGCCTGCCTGGACGTGCTTGCGGTGACAGCCCAGCACGCCCCGCCCTCCGTCTTTCTCCGCGGCCTCCCGCCCTTCCACACAGAATTCATGTATACCTGAGTATATACATGCGCCTGGGTGTTCGTGTGTATGTATATGTGTGTGTGTGTGTATATATATATATTTTTTTCCCTTGCCTCCAAATTCCTACGGGGGTGTGACTGCCTGTGTGCCTTGTGCCCAGCGTGGAGCCCAGCACGTCCCCAGCAGACCCCAGCAAGCCTTCACTGAGGCACAGCTGTGGTTCTCAGGACTTGACATGCTCCTGCCAGTAAACCCCAACCCGCACAGACCCTGGCCTGGTGTCCTGGGACCACCCCAACCCCAGCACCTCCTGCCGCCCCAGCTGCCCCCATGTTCAAGCCTGTCCTGCTTCTTTTACCACCAGGGGTCACACAACCTCTAGTTGTGAGAATATACTGACCCTGGGGCCACAGCCAGAAAGACGAGGCCAGCCAGGAGGGATGGGATGACTCTCGTGCCCATGTGGCCTCACCATGGCCTGGCCTGGGAGGGCCAGACCCCAGAGTGGCCACAGAGCGCTTCCCTGGGAAGGACAGCAGGCAGGCAGCCCCAGGCGAGGCCCTGGCCCCTCTGGGCCTCACCTAGGCTTCCTCCAGGTGTGACCAGGGGCCTCTGGGAAGCAACGGGACGTGCCTGGCAAGGGGCAGGTGTTTGAGGGTCTAGATGACCCAGACCAGCAAGTGACAGAGGACGGACTCACCTGCTGCATGATGTCCCGCCTCTGGTTCATGGCGGCCAGGTAGCGCAGGATCAGCTTCGTGGCCTCGGTCTTGCCAGAGCCGCTCTCCCCACTACCAGGCAAAGGAAGTCTCAACCTTCCACTGCCTCTTCGAGTCTTCCCAGGCCCCACCGCAAAGCAAGTGGGGTGTGTACAGGCCAGCCCAGAGGTCCTAAGTGAGCCCCTCGTCCCACACGGGCTGGTCCATGTGCAGCCCTGTCACCTGGGCCCGTTCCCTCCCTGTGCACACACCGCCCCATCACCCGGGCCCCGTTCCTTCCCTGTGCACACGCCGCCCCATCGCCCGGGCCCCGTTCCCTCCCTGCGCACACACCAGCCCATCGCCCGGGCCCCATTCCCTCCCCGGGCACACACCAGCCCATCGCCCGGGCCCGTTCCCTCCCCGTGCACACACCAGCCCATCGCCTGGGCCCCGTTCCCTCCCTGCGCATGCGTGGCTCGGCTCACCTGATGATTATGCACTGGTTCTGTTTGGCATCAAGCATTTTGGCAAAGGCAAGGTTTGCAATTGCAAAAAGGTGCCTGGAGACAAGTCACGAGGCGTCAGGGTGCTGGCCCTCCACTGCATTCTCAAACTTCCCAGGGTCAGCTCTGCCTCTCTGGGTATCTAGTCCCATTCGCTCCCACCCCCAGGGGGCAATGTCCACCACCATCCTCATCGGAGCCTCAGTGGCCTCTGACCCAGTGGCTGCAGCCAGGCTGGGAGAGGCTGCTGGGCTGAGCGGTCAGCCACGTGCTGAGGAACAGCAGGTGCACACAGGCTCAGGCGCTCATGAGCTCGAGAGGGACCTCCCCCGCTCAGAGATACTCACGGGGGGTTCTCTCCCAGGGCCCGCCCGCTGTACTGCTGCACCTGCTCCGGCCCGTAGATCCCGAACATCCGGTAGGGGTTCACCGACACAAGGATGCTGCCGATGTAAGTCTGCGGGACGGGCACAGCCTCGGCACCCGGCTCACTCCTTGCGGGCCAGGTTCCTTCCCACCCGTGCTCTGGAGCCTGGCTCCCCGGCCAAGGCACTGCTGCTCAGGGCCCTTGCAGCCTCAGGGGTCCTGGGTGACCTCACAGTGGATCTCAGGCGCCGCACCCTTGCTGCGGTCCTGTGAATGTGGCCGCTGGGTGCCGTGTCACTTAGTCATAGACAGCCAGCCTCCAGGAGCCTGTGCTTCCCTGTGCGGTCGAACCTCCACTGCCTGCAGCGGGAGGGAGTCTGGAACCCAGGGGCGACCCTGCCCTGTGCACTGTGGACCTGTCGTTCTCGAGCCCAGGGTTTCCTTCCACCCCTCTGCCCATCCCACTCTGGGATCCAGCTCTCTGGTTCTGACTTGAAGCCTTATCTGGCAGGTCCCCACAAGGACCACACGTCTGGATTCCTGTCTCTCGAGCTCTAGCATCCTCCACTCTTAAGACTCTACGTTTTAGGTCTTTGGGTTCTGAAGTTCTAGGACCGAGCGTCCTGTGCTGAAATGGGAGGAACCCTGGAGCTAACCCTGGAGCTCACACTGGAGGCCACAGGTCTGGGCCCAAGAGGGGCTGCCATGGCCAGCCCCAGCCTCCTTCCCGGGGCTTACATAGATGAGGTTTCGCTCGAATCTGGTCTGGAGGTTGGACAGCACGGCGGTCTCCCGGAGATCTCTGCAGGGCAGGGACAGGGGCTGTCAGTCCCCTGGGGCCAGAGCTGCCCAGATCCCCTGCCCCACTCAGGGCCTCTAGTCCTGCCTCTGACATTGAGCAGTGGTAAGACTGTGGACAAGCCCTTCGCTTTCCTCGTCAGCCCAGTGGGTATAGCAATCATCGTGTCTTCTTTGCTGGAGTTTGGGGGTGGCAGACACGCAGGCTGATTCACTACGATCAGATAATGAGGGTGACCTGACAGCCTTCACACTTTGGGCATCTCAAACACTCCAGCGCTCTCACACTAGCCACACCCCGCCTCGTGTACGAGAAACCCAGGCAGACAGGCCGGTGAAAGCCCAACGTCCTGTGATGCTGGCCCACGCAGGCAGGTCCAGGTGTGCATCTGGAGACCTTCCTGAGCGCGCCAGACATGCACACGTGCCCGTGAGCCAGGGCGGCTCACACTGGGGGTGGACTGGGGTGCTGTCTCCCTGTCTCTTCGTGTCTCACTCATGGAAGAAATAAATACAAAATTAAAAAAAACAAACAAACATAAACTAAGGCGCAAAGAGAGGAAGTGACTTGCCCGAGGTCCCCCCACTGGGAGGTGGGAGGGACGGACTCATGGACACACAGAACCTGGCCGTACATGCACTCGGCCTTCGTTACACCCCCTCTGCAGATGGGCAAACTGAAGCTCTGAAAATGTCCCGGGAGGTAAGGCATCCCGGCCGGAGCTAGGCATGCGAGCCCTGGCTGCCCCCGCAGCCCCGTCCACTCACTCCAGCTGCGTCATGTCCTCCACGCCATCCTCCCCGCGCTGCTCCCGGAGCCGCACAGACGGCAGGCTGCGGATGGAGTGCATCTGCGAGGGAGAGGCCGGTCAGCAGGCTGGAGGGTGCCCTGGCTGGGACACAGCTGAGGCCCGTCCCACTGCTGAGACAGAGTCCCAAGGCCAGGGCAGGTGGGCCCTGCAGCCTCCTGGCCACAGAAAGCCACAGCCCACAGGCCTGCATGAGACACAGAACACGCACCCACCTCGGTGCCCACGCATTCTGGGGTCAGTGCTCCCCTGAGCTCCCACGTGTCCTGCCCTAGGAGCTGAACTGACAGACACACATGCCCACATGCATGTGCACACACACCTGCTCCTCCCAACATCTGCTGTGCCATTGCAGACACCCTTCTCCCAGCAGACCCCACAGGCTGGCTTGTGGGACTTCTCAGCGACGTCCTTGCTCCAGAGCGTGGGGCGTCCAGGAGGGGGATGGAGACTATCTCAGCATGGTACCCCACACCCACCAGGGCAGACACACTGCATCTGCAGAGCCTTGCACTCCCGAGCACACCTGTGGTCTTGTGGGCTGCCCGTGGACTCGCAAGCAGGCCTGTTCTGCTCGCTGGGGGCACACACAGCACGCAGGCACACACACTCGATGTCCCCTTGGCAAGTACAGGTGGGGCCTTGAGCACAGAAGTCCTGCTGCCACCTTTGGGCTGTGCACACACATGCAGAGCATGGGCACACACCCTAGCCCCATGGGTGCCACGTCTGCTTGGACCTTGCAGTGTGCACAGATGTCCAGGCACATGGGCCTGCCTGGGGCTGCATGACTGCAAGCACACACGTGTGCACCCTCAACCTTTCCAATCCCAGCTACAGCCCTCCCTGAGCAGGCAAGGGAAGGGGACACCAGGAGGGAGCCCTGCATGCTGCGTGCCCGCCACTGGGCTGCTAAGTAGGGCACGGACAGTATCTTCCTTTCAGCCCTGGCCTGTGGCCCGCCCGTCTGCCCACGTGCTCGCCAGCAGCCGCAGACCCTGAATAATTCAGCCACTCACGTATTCCAGGGTGAGGAGGGCCCAGGCATCCTTGCCCCTCACCCCTGGGCGCCCTTTGGCCCGCTCCCGCAATGCTGCAGCCCATACAGCGCGGGGCACCCGCCGCCGGGGCCAGGGCCCCCCCAGCAGCCAGGCTGCCCCGGTGGCCATGGCCAGGCCGGCTGGGCGGCCGGGGCCCCGCGCGACCGCCTCCACGGCTAGTGC